TGGCTCTGCTGCAGTAAGTCTTGCCGGAGGGAGGTAAAGAGGGTTGATGGCTTGCAGTTTGATGTTGCAATCTTCCTTAGTAGTTCTAATTTTCCTTAGCCATAGCCGGGTAATGGCCCTGGTATCGTAAAACTTCAAAAATTTTCAATTCTGTGTAAATTTCCATATGGGACGCTGGGCCCGGTTCCCAGCACGTGTTGCTCCCCACGAATAGATTGGAGCTTTGTTCCCAAAAAAAAAAAAGAAAAAAAAGAAAAAAGAGATGCTTGTGTACACGCATGATGATGATGATGAAGTGTTCTTCAGGAGTGGGGTTTGTTACTGCTGTGTTCTGGCTTTGCTTTATTCTGTGGACACTGGAGTCCATTTTCTCTTGGGCAATCTCCTTCTTAACTTTCTGTCGCGCAACACATCTGCCTTGTCTGCAGATTGGGGTGGTTCAATCCTGCGTTGGTGTATGATCACCTGGGAGAAATATTTTCTGCATTAAATGTGTCCAGCTTCATCTTCTGTTTCCTTCTCTATGCAAAGGTATGTATGACCCGTGTTGACTCCCATGCATGTGCCATGTACAGTGGAGATAGAGATATCTACAGACTTTGAATGTGTTATGCCCAGATATGCATCTTTCTACCGTTGCATGTGCTCAACCACCTTCTACAGTCTCTGTAGACTTTTAAGACCTAGATGTGCTGAATCCTTCACATTGAGCTTTGTAAACAATGTAAAGGTAATTCAGTTGTCGTTTTTGCAAGGAACCAGCATGTGAGAGCAGAGGACTTCCGGCCAAGGCCAAGGCCTGGGAGGCTCACATTTCCACCCCCTTATGTTTGAAAGTCCTCTGAGATACCCTCATTCTAGCCGCGGCTTCCCTTTTTGAAAGCCCTCTCATAGTATGATACCACCCGGGGTAATAAACTCTTCTCTTGTAAACCTCGCGTCTGCACTCGGATCCACATGACGTCTGAACCCGGAACTACAATTTTTTGGCTGATCCGATGGTCTCCCTCTGCCTCCGATCTTAGGCACCAGAAGATATCGGTGCTCCGAAATGTGATCAATGTCAACTTGACCATCCATTTAGGGCTGTAACATAGTACTTTTTTGTTTTTGTTTTTTTGGACCATTTCTCGATTTATGCGTGTCATCCTTGCGCAGGGGCCATGCTAATCTTCTCTGTATTGTTCCAATTTTAACTGATGTCCCGAACGACAGGCTGTAACATAATACTGTGGCATCAGTTTCCCTGATATCTTCTCCTCAGGTTCCAAATTCAAACCCTGATGACTTGGTACGTACCAAACCGTCTACCTGGAAAGAAGGCATTTGTCTATGACTCTATGCTGATTTTCTTCTAGCTACCATGACCTGCTGTGAATTTTGAATTTGTTCAACTGTTTTCTGCGGCATTTGTTCGTACTCTAGTGCAAAGTTGCAAACTCTATGCGTCAACGCGCTGAATCTCGCTTTGGGTCTGGATACAACAAAATCTAGAGGTGTTGACAGCAAGTAACATTAAATCTATCCCTACACTTATAAAAATCGCTGATGTCAGAATTCTGAAATCCGGGCCGTCTTTGGACCTACCGGCCCGACGGCCCGGATTGGGCCCCGATCTTAGATCTTTAAGATCGCGCGGCGATCCAGGCCGTTCACGGTTGCACCTGCCCGACGGCCCAGATCGCCCCGCGATCTTAAAGTTTTAAGATCGCGGGCGAATCCAGGCCGTCGGGCCGTTTACGGCCCGGATCGCCGCGGTGCCTTGGGGAGTTCGGTCCGAAAGGACCGTTGGCGGGCGGGCGGGCGGGAAAACTACAGCCCCACGCTACGCTACGCGACGCGACCTGCGCTACGCGACCTACCTACTCGACGCGACCTACGCTACGCGACACGACCTACCTACGCTACGCGACCTATCTACTCGACGCGACCTACCTACGCTACGCGACCTACCTACTCGATGTGACCTACGCGACGCGACGCGACCTACCTACGCAACGACTGATCTTGGATACATGCTTTCTCTCTCTCTCTCTCTCTCTCTCTCTCTCTCTCTCTCTCTCTCTCTCTCTCTCTCTCTCTCTCTCTCTCTGTGACTGTGCTCTTTGGTGCTCGGTGCTCATCTTGGATACGTGCTTTTCGTCACGTGCTGATCGTGG